AATCTGGCAACAGCTGCACGGGCTCACCTGGCGTGTTAGCAAGCACTCTGCACTCAGCCCTGCCGCGGGCTGCTCACAGGCCCACCTCGCAAGCGCTCTGCACTCAGCCCTGCCACGGGCTGCTCACAGGCCCACCTCGCAATCACTCTGCACTCAGCCCTGCCACGGGCTGCTCACAGGCCCACCTCGCAGGCACTCTGCACTCAGCCCTGCCATGGGCTGCTCACAGGCCCACCTCACAGGCACTCTGCACTCAGCCCCGCCGCGGGCTGCTCACAGGCCCACCTCGCAAGCACTCTGCACTCAGCCCTCCGCGGGCTGCTCACAGGCCCACCTCGCAGGCACTCTGCACACAGCCCTGCCGCGGGCTGCTCACAGGCCCGCCTCGCAGGCACTCTGCACTCAGCCCTCCGCGGGCTGCTCACAGGCCCGCCTCGCGAGCCGCCCTGCCCCTTCCGTAGGTGTCGGTCAGAGCTCTGCACAGGTGTGCTCTGCCTCTTCCGACCTGGGACCCTGGCGAGATATTCAGATGTGACACAATCTTGGTAGATTTTATGGTGTAAAATGTCCTGGAATACAGGGGGGAGTGGGGGGAAGATTGCTTTGTTCCTGTCCCAGATGGCTTATTTGGCCTTAGTCTCACTAGGGAAACAACTCATGGAAAACTAATTCAGAGGGTTTGTTTCTTTCAGAAAGAGGGAGGTGAGTATCTTGTTTTTAGCAAGTTCGATAGGCATGGTTGGGATGCATGAAGCGAGGTTTCACACTGTAAACACAGCCCTGAGAAGTACATCAGCTCACTTTTAAAATTTATGCATTTTTCAAGGACTGAGTTTATCACTGAGGTCTGAGGAAATAGCAGATTACATTGGATTTACTAAAATTCACTTATTAAAGAAGTGATAGTGCAGAGAACTTAGTATTCCTAGCGAATGATATCAATATTTCTGTTTGTGTTTCCTAATGGAAAACAGCTGCAGTAAAAAAATGCAATAAATATTGATGGGGACAAAAAAAACCTTGTATTGGAAAGGTCATATAGCTTAAGAGTACTCAGTTCAGTTCAGTCACTCAGTCATGTCCGACTCTTTGCGACCCCATGAATCGCAGGGATAACTAAATTAGTGATTATCCCCAGACATCAACAGCAGCCCATAGAAGGCAATCAGGTGAAGAGCTAATAGTGACCGTGGATGAGGCTTTGTAAGGTTAGGGATCATCTTGATATTTTCCGTTGAATTTTCCTTACTGTATAACATTTATTACACAAATGTAGTGCTTTCACACAGAGGTGTGAAGTCATTTATTTACATCCTGTACAGAAATCTGCACCACATATACTGTGAATAAAAGAGAATCTAGAAGCTAAAGCATAGCTTGAGAAAGATGGCAAAGTGATGACATGTTGCACCTGATATTGGGAAGAGCAATGCCACAGGAGAATGTGTCCCCTGAGAGGAGGCCATCTGTCTTCATTCTTGCCCATGCACTTAACTCTCCCGTGGTAGAACTTGGGGCAGGGCATTTTACCATCTGTGTGATTTACCTATCTGTAGAATGGGAATAATCACATACACTCAACTTGTGTATGCAGTCCAAATAAGGTAATGTGTGAGAAAAAGCCTTTGACAAGTTTATAAATAAACTATTATTTATATCCTATTATAAATAACAGGGACCCTTGGGTAAGACAGTAGCACAAAAGTTACTTTGCATGTGACAGTGTAGCATAAGGCGGGGCAATAGGAGAGCAGACATCTGTTTTACCCCCATAGCAAAGGCAACGCAGTGCAAACAGCAACATGCTTTGAATGACTCACTGGTCATGGAATAACAGGTGAATGGTTTGCTGGCGTCTGAGAATATTGGTCTTTGGAGAGTAAATAGAATTTTATCAGGTAGTCAAGGGAAGCAGGAAGGGGCAGCACTCTGGAACAGCCACTTACGTTTTTAAGGATCTGGTGAACCTGTGCTATAAAATCTCTCCCTATTTTTAGTAAAACTGACTCCTTCCACTTTCCTGCCCTTAAGTGATTTTATAACAGTTCTTAAACCATATTTAGAACATACTATTTACATATGTCTGATGAGTGCTACTAAATTGAGCTCCTAAAAATTGGAGGGTGTGGTTTCATTTTTAAATGGCAAATTTCTACAATGCCTGGCTGATGAGTGCCTAGTATATAATGTATTTCCTGGATAAATTAATAAATGAGGTCAAAGGAGTGGGGAGTCTAAGAACCAAGATGTGAAATTGGCACATTTATGAAACTGCAGTGCAGCAAGTCTCCTTTGTCGACTGCTTGGGTTGGGGAAGACAGAGAATTATATATAGAAAGTTGTGACAGATACGATTAAAGAAGGAGGACAGGGTTAATTTGTCAGCTCAAGTTTAAAGAGTTGGGTTTAACCCTCTGAACCTATGGATATATGAGTCATTAAGCTGGCAAGTGACAAAATCAGGAAAATCTTGCAACAATGAGGAAGTGGATGGAAAGAAGGAAAACTGGAAGCAAAGGAGACCAATAAGGTTATGAATGTAGGCGCCCTGGGAGAGATGATAGGATGATGGGGTCCAGGGCAGTAGAAAATATAGTAGGAACAGAGATGAGAGAATGGATTTGAAAGCTGTCTTGGGCTGGGGCAAGTTAATTTCTTTTACACTTTCTCCTGATTATCAACATAATACATGTCTATTGAACAAATCTGTTAAGTACAGTATTGTGTCCCCTCACAATTGATGTCCTAGTCCCCAATACCTCAGAATTTGACTTTATTGGGAAATAGGGTTTATGCCAAGGGGCTTCCCTGGTGACTCAGTAAAGAATCTGCTTGCAATGAAGGAGACCTGGGTTTGATCCCTGGGTCGGGGAGATCCCCTAGGAAAGAGAATGGCAACCCACTCCAGAATTCTTGTCTGGAGAATCCCATGGACAGAGGAGTCTGGTAGGGTACAGTCTGAATTGGACAGGACTTCACAGCTAACACCTTTGATTACCTTTGTTTAACAAGGTAATCAAATTAAAACGAGGTCATTAGGGTGGGCCCAAATCCACCATGACTTATAAAAAGGAGATGTTTGGGCACAGAGTCAGTCATCCATAAAGGAAAGATGATGTGAAAACAGAGGGAGAGGATGGCCATGTGCCTAGAGTGAAGCATCTACAAGCTAGGGAACTTCAAGGCTTGCTACAAACACCTGAACTAGAAGAGGCAGAAAGGATTCTCCCCTAGAAGCTTCAGAAAGCATGCGACTCTGAAGACACCTTGATCCTAGACTTCTAACCTCTAGAAGTGGGAGACAAATTTCAGTTGTTTTAAGCTACCAAGGTTCTGGTACTTTGTTATGGCAGCCCTAAAAAACTGATACATACGAAAACTATGAAGGATTTGGGAAATAAATTAATACCAACTCCCTGAAGTAATTGCTATTAATAATTTGGTACATTTTCTTTAAATCTTTTTCAAGCTTGTTCCAGGTGTCAGTGAGAGGGCCTGACTCACCACATTGTGTCTAGCATTGATCATGATTGTTTCGCTAAGTTTATAGGTAAAAATAATTTATGTCCTTTTCCCCTTGTGTAGAAGATTTGGAAGTATTACAGAAGATAAAGATCCCTCTTTCTATGCCAGTCATTCATAAATCCACGCTTTTGTATCAATCACTCTCAATATTTTAACATATTTCCTTTGAGTTTCCTATGACTTCTTTCACAGTTGAGTTCATGTTATATAAACATTTCGAGTTTTGCTCTTGAAAGGAAGCATTACAATGCATTTATTTTCTCATGTCATTGGAAACCTCAGAAACTTGATGTTATATAAAGTATCATAATATCCTATCAGGAAATGTACCATGACATATTTAATCAATTCCTTAATGGTGGACCTTCTTCTTGGTTTTATTTTTGTTGTGGTTTTTACTAAAAACATATTGAAATAAGTACTCTTCTGATTTCAGAATGTGTCTGCATTTCTGATTACCTCCTTGGGATATTTTCACAGAAGAACAATTACTGGGTAAAAAGGAAATGAGCAATTAAAAACTCTTGATACATTTTGCTATTTATTGCTTTCTGGGATAGTTGTACCAATTTATACTCCTACAAGCAGTATATGAACAAGTTTATTTCATCTAAGATCACTTGGATGCTTTCATGCTTAGTAATTTGATAGGAAAAAAACATTATATAATTGCTGTTTTAAATTGCAATTCTTTCATTGATAGTTAGTCTGAATATTTTCCCATATCTTACTTAGACATTTGCATTTCATCTTTTAAAAGAATTTGTTCACATTCTTTACCCACTTATGCCTTCAGTTTTTACTGTTTTTCTTATCAATTTGAATTTATTATACATTTAAAATACTAATGCACACATACATAAATCCCTTTAATTCTTTTTTAATGCAAAGGAACTAATAATTTTCAGAATTAAAAATTTTTTTTCTATTCCTTCTTTTTAGTGTATCCATGTCTCAAGTAAATGTAGTAAGGTCTCCTAGGTAACCAAAACTAAGATTCTGAGTTTGGCTGTTCATGGAACTTGTGGGTGGAGCCACCTCATTTATATAGCATGTAATTATTAGGGATGATATTATTATTCAAAGAAATGGCTAGGCAAAAAATGAAAAGGTTGTCTTTGCCAGAGATGCTGACTCACTGATTAGTCCAGCACAGAGAATTGAAAACCACTGGTTTCCTCCTTGACTCTTTGAAGTGGGGGATAGTTCTAGGAAATGAAGGGTGAGAGAGATGGTGGGATGGATTTCTGAGAGATGCTGTAAGAACTGGGTACCAGTAATTCTGCTTCCAGACCAGGAGATGATGTGCAGCCTGAGTGGTATGAAGAACCATGTTTTTCATTTGCACATAAAATGTGACACTCCCTGGTGTCACAAAGGGAGACTTGTCAGATGGCTTCTAGGTGGCATCATTTATTTTGTGACACTGGGCACCAATAGTCTCAATTATGAACCCCCTAAGGGTCGCATCATGGGCAAACCTTGCACTTGCTAAGAGAAGCTAATGCCGAGAGAACAAAAGCTGCAGATGGTTGGTGAGCAAATGTAAGGCTCTTCTTGGCAGACTGGGGATATCAGAGGCCCACACACACAGGTTGTAAAGAGAAAAGCAACTTGTATTCTTTAAGTAAGTGTGATTGTACCTACAGGTGCTGAGTCTTGGCATACGTAGTTAACATTTAGAAAACCTTCCATTCTCCAGAAATTTGATCAGTATTGAGAGATATTTTGAATACAGAACTGACTTGACTTAATGACTGACTGGGCTCACCTGGTGGCTCAGAGGGTAAAGTGTCTGCCTGTAATACGGGACACCTGGGTTTGATTCCTGGGTTGGGAAAATCCCCTGGAGAAGGAAATGGCAACTCACTCCAGTACTCTTGCCTGGAAAATTCCACGGATGGAAGAGCCTGGCAGTCGCAGAGAGTCGGACATTGACTGAGCAACTTCACTGGTTAGTGACTGACTAGCTCTGATGTGTAGGAAAGAGATGATTTTCCCTGGGCCTGGCTGTGCTAGAATTTCCAACTTGGACAACCAGGTGGATTATGCCTCAATCTTAACTGTGGTCTAAATATTATGATATATTTAGGTACAGAGTGTTAGAAAGCCCTTGGGGAAATAAGTGGTTGGGTTTAAGAGAGATATCAGGAGGTACTTTTGGAAATCATGAAATATGGGTAAAAGTTGAAGCCATGAAAATTAGCTAAGATCAACTAGGTAGAATGTTATCTATTCGTGCATTCATCCTGTCTTTTATTCCATGATTCATTCCTTGGCTTTTTCGGGAAATATTTAAATCTGTGAAACTCAGAGCAGTTAAGAGTCTTGGTTTCATGTGTGAGAGATGTTTCAGTGAAGTGATGGGGAGAAGCCAGATTGCAGTGGGCTGAGGAGCAAGTGAAAAGAGAGGAACTTGTCAGCACAGAATTCAGGGTCTGGAAGGAAGGGAAGGAAGCAAAGGTGTCCTTAAGCCTGGAAAGCAAAGTCCTTAGAACTGATTCTATTTTGGATGGGAAAAAAAGTAAAGGGATATATATTTATTGAGTGAGCATGTGTATCAAACATTGGGCTAAGTGCTTCATGTGAAGTATCTCATTTAATCCTCCTCCAAGCTCTTGTGAGACATGGATTGCTACTCATATTTTGCAGATGAGGAACCTGAGGTTGAGAGAGCTGGTCCATGGTTACATAGCTTTAAATTGATGACACAGATCTGTTGTCTTCAAGTCTCTCAGTTGAGACAGAATACGGTATAAGGATGAGCTGATTAATTGATGAAAAGAAACCTTGGAAGATATTGAAAAGGAGAGGATCCTTTCATAGTTTCAATTCAGTTCAGTTGCTCAGTGCTGTGACCTCATGGGCTGCAGCACGCCAGGTTTCCCTGTCTTTCCCTTTCATAGGTGGTTCACATTAAATGGAATATCACCCTTTCCTCTGAGAAAGGAAAGAAAAAAAGAGAAAAGGTTGAGTATATAGTTAAATAAGAAAGCCAAGAAGGTAAAGAAAAATGAAATGGAAGAAATGTACGTGAAGGTCTCCATGTTTTAGTAGGGTATTATGGTGTGTGTTTGCAGTTAGATTTTGACATTGATTTTAGGGCAATTAGGAGAAGATTAAAAGGTTAAACCTTTAAAATAGTTGCGTGAGAGTTGGAGATAGGCAGAGAGTGAAAAAGTGATAGAACTGCTGGGTATCACCATAGGTCCTGAGGTTGAAAACTGTGTTTATAATAGATCTAATTAGCATATGTTTATGATCATTTGTTAGTCTTATCAAGTGACCTGGGAGCAAGAATAGGTAGATGGTTTAGTTCCTTCAGGTTAAGAATTCCCAAGGAAATACCCCTAAGCCATTCATCAGACATTTACTGAGTACCAGAATCTGTGCTAAATGCTGGGGATACATTCACAAAGGAATCAAGCGTCTGCCTTTTGTGAGTACACTGCCCTTGGAGGGGAATAGATATCTAGAAGCATAGTTTTATATTACTGGGCTTTAGGGAATATGGTGAACAACACTGCAGTAGAGGAAGATATCTAGGAAGTAGGGGAAGACCTCAGAGAGGTGCTTATTTAAAGTGGGCCTTGGAAGCATTCTGTGCTGTGCTAAGTTGCTTCAGTTGAGTCCAACTCTGTGCAGCCCTGTGGACTGTAGCCCACCAGGCTCCTCTGTCCCCGGGATTCTCCAGGCGAGAATACTGGCATGGGTTGCTGTGCCCGCTGTCAGGGGATCTTCCCGACCCAGGTATCGAACCCTCGTCTCTGACGTCGCCTGCATTGGCAGGCAGGTTCTTTACCACTAGCACCACCTGGGAAGCCCGGAAAGCATTCTAAGAATCCATTATTTCTGGTCTGCTATAATGCTTGAGGGTCTTGTGTAACTTTCTCCTTTGTCCTGCAACAACAGAAACTTCCCACCTGGGCTTCTATAAATTTCTGGCTATTCTTTAATGAACACAAACACACGAAGTGCTTCAAGGTACAGTCAGTCTTCAAAGGCGAAGACTCTCCCTTCATGTACTTAGGCCTTGTGACTTGCACTGATTATTCTCTACAAAGCATGAAATAGAATGGCAAGACCTACCCCAGGACGTAGATGATCTAAAATCAAAGACATTGCTCATTGTCTTGGAAAAACAGGGAGAATACCCAAGGGTTACCCTGGAAACTAGAATGGATTTTCCTCTAGTCTCTTTCCTGGCACTTGGCTTTTAGCTGGCTCCCCAGTTCCCCCTTTACAGAAAGGAGGCCTCTGTTGCCTGAAGCAAAGGCTGAGTGAGACCACATCAGGGCGGGAGATGTAAGTCTGTCTGCATGGTGGATAGCTGATGTCCTTCGCAGTTTTTATAGCATTCAGTCAGCACGTTCTGGGCAGAAGCTATAGAAGTGTGGACTAACATGCTTCTCTGGGTCAGACAGGCAGAAAATATTCGTTCTGTTTCATAACAACAAAACCTCCTTAAAAAGTGGCCTTGAAATGATGGAGGGAGGCGTGCAGTTGAATAGTTATTTCTTGTTCCCCTTAAATACAGTCCTAATATTCTTCTCTAAACTTTCTATATAAAGGCTACTGTGCATTTTTCCCCCTCCTCTTTTCTCTGAGAATGAGTATTTGCCAGGATAGCTTTAATGGGTGAAAGAGACTTCAAGCTTCTCATTTGCATTATGGTGTTATGTTCTTTCATAGTTTCATGAACAATAACCTCCCACTTCTCCACAGGCTGATGGGATAATTTGCTCTGCTGAAGAGATGAAAACTAAAATGTAGAGGTTTTTTTTAAAGCATGTGGTTCAATGGAAAAGCTTCCAGCAGTGCCAGCACTGAAGTTTCAGGTCTTTTAGATTATAGGCTGGGATAAAAGGTCTTCTGGTTAAGAAGACTATGTACAATCCACACAATTGATACATTTAGACTTCAAATCCTCTAGCAATATAGCTGTTTCTCCTGGGGTTTCCTAGTACTGATGCTAGGAGAGAGAGAAAAACACATCTAGCAGACTTGGTTTCAACTTTGCCTGCCAAGGTAGACCCTCCCCCTGCCCTTTTCTTCACTTGTTACCTGTTATTTCACAAATTTCTTTAATGAATTGCAGTCCTGGTAGTTGGGAAAAGGTAGATTGTGGAAGACTGCCCTTGAGAGATGCAGTTAGCCCGTTTCATTTAGGGTCCTGACTTCTCCTCTGGTGCCCCCTGTCGGTGGTACATTTGAAAGCTGCAGCACATAATTCTGTCCATTCATACTGTGCTATGAAAGCTACATTCTCAGGGAGAGCCATGGGAACAGAGAGAAAAATCTGGGGTTTTTTTTTTTTTTTACGTCCTTTCTAGAGATACTGTCTTTTAATACACTCCCCGGTAGTTGAAGGACTGTTTCATGTAGCTTTCGTCTCTAAGACAGTTTAAGAACAAGTAATGGGAGACCACAGGCTCACCCTGCACTAGGAAAGATTGAAGGCAAAAGAAGGGGGTGGCAGAAGATGGGGTGGTGGGATGGCATCACCGACTCCGTGGACGTGAATTTGAGCAAACTCTGGGAGATGGTGGAGGACAGAGGTGCCTAGTGTGCTGCAGTCCATGGGGTTGCAAAGAGTTGGACATGACTTAGCATCTGAACAACAGCAGCAAGGGACTGGTCAAGAGAACCTTTCCTTCCTTTCTCTGACACTGTTGTTTTGAACATCTCCCAGGGAAAGAAAAGGTTATGATGCTCCCTAGGATACTCTTATTGGTGTTCACAAGAGAGTCTGGTACCCCTAGGAAAGCATAATGCCAAGAACCAGTAACAAGCAATCTACTTTAGATTAATCTTGGGTGTTTATTTGCTTCTGAGTGAATGACTCATGGAATATTCTAATGGGAGCATTCGATAATCATTACTGTTGTGTTTGTTGTAGAAAATGCCTTAATCTTAACAGATGTTATTCATATTTGTGGAAATGTCTAATGCTTTTTTCTGACTTTCACTGAAGTCTCAGACTTTGTAGCAGTGAAATCTGCAATAAGCATCGGGCACAGCTGACTTCCATGCTGCTTCTCATTTGCAACCCATCCACCCCTGCATCCATAGAAGTGTTGCCATCACTTTGACACCTCAAAACACCTCCTAGGAACGGAACGCCAGGGGAGTAGATAAGATCCACGTGTGGCTGGTGTGACACTATACCATATTTCTTTTTGAAAAAGCTTCTTCAGTACTTGATACCTCATTTTCTCCAGAATTAAACAAGGCTTCTCGCTGACTTAAATCTGCTATGCAGCAATTTCAGTTAGAATAAGACTAGGCTGTGGTAATGAATAGACCCCCGTTTTCCATTTCTTCCGACAGTTCTAATGATGTTTGCACGTTTTGAGGCTGTATTATTAATAATTTAAAATTTTGTCTTCCTGATCTGTTGAAACCTTTGATGAAGTGACCCACTTTATATCATGTAGAGTTCCTTGTCTTAAAGTTTATTTTGTGTTTGTAGTTTATACCGCCACATGAGAAACCAGCTTTCTTTCTGTTGGTTCTAGCCTGGTGTATCTCCCACACCGCTCCCCTGGCCTTCTCTTCTATTATAACATTCAACCTTTCTGTATTCTTATAGTTTTGGACGAGTCAGTTTAAGATCTTCTTGATTTT